TTTTAAGTCCACATATATCTTTTAATAAAGTATTAAATTCAAATTAAACTCAATCCTAAGATTTCACTGCTAATTTGAGGGGATAAATATATTTAGAAATTTAAAATTTGATGCAGTAAAAAACAAAAACAAAAAAAGATTATAATGATATTTTGAAGATTTATTATACTATTTATTTAGTTCGAAATTTTAATTTAACTTATTTCCCCTTGAAAACAAATTAATGGCTTCCCCCTTCTGAATATTAGATTGAACTAGGTTAAACGTATGGTCTTTTCAAATTAAATAAAATAAATATATTCTGGATATAAACATAGATTATAAAGTTTAATCCAAATATATCCTGGTCTCTTCTAGTACGATAGCCTGTCGTTTTCTGCCTTGAGTTCCCACTGGCCGCCTGGGCAAAGCCAAACCAAAAACAAAAACACGACACAAAACATACATCTGGTGCTGAGCTGTGACTACCATGTCAGATACTATTAAAACAAAAACGTGCCCATTAGCAGTAATGGCTAGGAACACGTGGGAAACACAAACGTCACGAAATTTGGGATATTCTAGTTTTATTTTTTTTAAAATTATTTTCTGGGCTCCACTTTTGTCAGCAGTCAAATATAAGTCAAAGAACAACCTAGTAACTTAGTAGGTAAGTCTCTTTTTGTCTAGTGGGAACCGTGGCCTCTCCGAAGTCACGATCATCAACTGGCATGGCACCTTTTCACACTCACGTTCAGCTCCCGTGTCCAATTCGCGCACCTCAAAAATCATCATAAAATACTATAAAAATCCTTTTCTCGTATTCTCACCTTCTCAAATTCAACTTTCTATTTGATCTTTTATCTTAAAACTCTCAAAAACAGATTTCGACAAGTACTACTACGTACTAAGTCAAGAACTTTTTGTTTTTAAAAAGCGTCAAAGCAGTTGTTGATTCTCTAATGGATAATTTAATTTCTGACGCAAGTATTAACAGCGCTAGAGCTTCGCACTCGGACGAGGAAGTGATTTTGGCGGCGTGCCGGCCAAAGAAGAAGTCGGGGAGGATGGTGTTCAAGGAGACGAGGCACCCGGTGTACCGCGGGGTGCGGCGGAGGAACAACGACAAGTGGGTTTGCGAGCTCCGCGGGAGCCGAACAAGCAGTCTAGGATATGGCTCGGGACGTACCCGACGGCGAAGATGGCGGCGCGCGCGCACGACGTGGCGGCGTTGGCTTTGAGAGGGAGGTCGGCTTGCCTCAATTTCGCGAACTCGGCATGGCAGTTGCCCGTCCCTGCCTCCACGGATGCTAAGGACATCCGTGCGGCCGCAGCGGAGGCTGCCGAGGCGTTTCGGCCAAAGGCGGAATGTGGTGGCTTTTCGGGGAGTGAGGAGGTGGTGCAGGCGGAAATGGAGGAGGAGAAGGGTATTGTAACAGAGGAGGAGGAGAGAGTGTTTTATACGGATGAAGAGGAAATGTTTGGTATGCCACGGTTTTTTGCTGACTTGGCGGAAGGGCTACTTC